CTATTCACTGGCTTTTTGTTGTTACTGAAAAAGGGACAGCAGATGGTAACCTTGGATGCACAGGCTAAAAAGAATTAGGAATAATATTCACAGTTTCAGAGCCTGAGCGTTAGCTTACACACCTGGCGGCGCCTGTCACAGACACAGCTTTTGTTCCCGTCCCTATTGGGATGTGCCACACCAGTACAGTCGATGAAAGGTCATATTTGATCATTCTGTCTCGGCCTATTAAGGCCAAACAAAGGCCCAGGCAGGTGTTTCGATTTAATATGAGCCAGATCGAGCAATAATGCGTGTCTGTCACTGACAGCTAGCTGGGGGACAACTAAACAAGGGTGAAAATCAGGCATATTTGTAACATCCACTTAATTGAACACAAACAAGCAAAAGCAGCAAAGGTAAATGGAGTGAAAGCCGCTGAAATGGCAGGCCATCTATTTTGTTGTTTCAGAGTGTGCTCTACTGACCTGCCAAGGTAAAATTTCATCAATAAAGCAAATACAACACACGTTCAGCCGTAGTTTTTTTCCATCCGGCCTTATTGAACCATTCTCCAATTTGCCTGGTAACCATGAAGGAGAGAAAACATACTTTAACCGCAGCTGCAGCAATTCTTCACTGGACTTCCTGACTTTCTTCAAGTCAAACAGTGTTCTCTGCCACTGTACGTAATCATTTCAATTCAAGCCTTCAGACTGTTAAATGAGTTTCTTTTTCATGCCAGAAAACAAAACAAAGCTCCCATATTCTCCATTTAGCTTTCTTACTTTAACTAGAACAAAGTGCATTAATAACACTCAGCATTTCCCTCACTGTCACACACTAGTCATAAAAAGACAAAAAGAAGGAACACAAGTAAAGACAATATCAGTTAATATGTCCTAAAGAGTGACCAAAAAAGAGAGTTTATTCCGCAGACTGCTTGGGTGATTTGCTTCATGCCAAAGGTTAGCGTTAGCTATTAGCTACTGACGGCTAAATAGGCTGCTATTTAGTTTGTTTAACCATCTGTGTTATCAGGCTCCACCTAGCTGAGCTCACAGTCTTATCAAAATGAAGACTGAGCAGATAAAACTATTGAAAATTAAAAAGTAAAATAACTTACATTCAGAAATTAATCATTTCAGCAGCTTTTTGTTTTTGTTTTGTTGGCAGCTTTTTGTTTTTTCCGAGCTGAGCAGGAGCAACAAACACAAAAAAGCACTTTTATTTCTTTTCAAACTCGAGTTTAATCACTTCTGTCATTTCTGCAATATGTTAAGGTTTGCCAGATCATTTTATCAAGTGCTTTTTAGTGGTTTTACTTTTTTACTTTATAACCTCTTGCACAATATATTTGACTATAACTAATTTAGGGATTTTCTGGTTTCCTAATTTTGCCTTAAAGATGACAAATATATTAGCACCTGGCACTATTATTTATAAAGCTATTACAGGTGTCTCGGTCTCCCTGAATAGCATTAGTCCCATGGAAGTCTTTGCATGATTACTGCTACAGCTGAATCAATGGTTTAATCAAGGTAAATCAGATAATAAGTATGCATGTAAACACATCTGCTGCTCACAAAGCAGCCAAATTAAACCTGTGAGTGCAAGTGTAACCTGAACAAACACAAAAACAGCACATTCTACTGTTCCTCTTTCACAAAGGGTTTTGTTTTCTTTTTTTAATCTGGTTAATGGCTCTGATTTTTCACCTTTAAAATTTTAAAACAACACCACCACTCACAGGTGGCCTCTTGGCTTGATGAGGGTCAGGGCCTTAGGGGTTCTCCACGGTGCCATCTCATTAGATTTCATTCATGTAATAGCCAGTTGCCATTCAATGATTAGGGGTAATGGTCTGAGCTTGAACTCTGAATGAAGATCATAGACTCTCGTCTGCTCGCTGCCACCGAGCGGCTCAAAGCAGCTCACTGGTGGCCAGATATAGGGCTCGCCTTTAGAGATTTCAGTTCCTTTCTCCCTGTCAGTTTGTACTCGGGGCAGTGATTTGCAATGACGGATGGGGCGATGCCTGAAAGCGCAGAGCATCACAATCAACTCATCAAGACTTTAGTATTGGAGTGCTGGCTGTCAGCTCCAGCAGATAAATGGCAGCTCTGGTTTCTAAATCTGACAGCCAAAACCGAGAATTGGATGTCTTTGTCCACAAAAGGCTTCCTAAAATGTGTCCCTTTTATCCCCTCAGCGAGCTGACTGTACATCTTTCAGATTACACATTATGAACTGAAGTAGGAGTATTTTGTCTATGAATAACAATCCAATTGCAGCCTAAATAATTCATTACCACAAAGGCTTCTAACCACCTCGAGAAATTACGAGCAGGAGTAAAAACATTGTGTCCCAGGTAATAATGTAATCATTTGTGTAAAGCACTGCAGTTATTGAAAATAATATTTTATGTCACTGTACACACACACACACACACACTTGATGGAGAAGGCCAAATTGTTCTTGTCATCATCGGGGCTGAGAGAAAATTAAAGTCTGGCTCCCAGAGAACGTGCAGACATGACGTGACTGGCAGGTTGAAGTGGATACTTCACACACGGACAATTTATGACAGAAATAACCTGCCAGACGTTTCAATCATCTCGATTTCCTTCATGTTTTTCTTTTTTTTATAGTGTGGGGGCTCGCAGAGCATCTGTTGACAATAACAGCTACCCAAGTGTAATTACTATCAGAAGATAGCTGTCGTGACATTGCGTGTCGACGTGAACAGACAAGGCAATAACTCGTCACTTGTCATGTCTTTAAAATGTCGGTGGGGAGGACAAGAGAGCGGAGAAAGGTGGGGAACGCTGCCGAAGGATAAACTATTTTCTATACTCATGTCCACGTCCAGGTGGTGGCAGGTGAGTTGTTCAATTGGAGAACAGGTTGACATCACGACAAGCACGCTGTCAAACACTGCTTGGGTAAACATGTCAGATTTGGAATGGTGGTGGTCTGTATGTAATCGCTTTTACTCAAGTGTTCACTGCAGTGGAACTTTGTAACCCTCCAGGTACATACCAACTACACAGTCATCTACATGACAAACTGCAGCCTCGTTAAAATCAGGCTCAAGGATTTAAAAGAAGCCTTTGTCACCTTGTCTAACAGCACTCATATCCTTCTTAACCGATTCATAATCCAATGGGTTGGTACGACTATTTTCTTTTTATTTCCTAATCAGACAATTTGACATTTACGCCCACTTTCCGCAGCAGTTGCCAGATGTGCGGAGGCGTGACAGTAGGCAGCGTTCTGAACTAGGTCTTATTTCCCTTTTTCCTTTTTTAAAATTCCTGATATGACTACCTCCATCTAATTTCAAATTGCAGAAGAGTTAAAATGTGCACTTGTGCATTTTGCCACATCTCTGTGACAGGAGGCTGTTCACTCAATCTAAAAAAATCTGCTATCAAATATAGTATAGAAGACACCCACACGTTAGCAGCTAGCACATTCAAAGAATTAAAAATGAGGTCTTTACAAGCTGGCTATAGCTGGTATACACAGTAGAGGACACACGTACACGTTATTGGGCCAAAGAAGAAGACAATACACCTTTCAATTTCAAACCATAATGCCTTGGTAAAATGAGCACTCTCCTGCAAATGGACTCTGTCCTAGAACAAATGCCATCTCTTCTAGCTGCATAGAAACCTGGCTGTGACTGAACTGAACGCTCTGCTGTCAGGACAAAACTGCCCGCAAGAAAAACTTTCCAGATACGAAAGCAGTGAAGGCAGAACAAAATGAAAGGAGCAGAACTATCTCCCAAATCACCTCAGGGGTTAAGATGCAAAAAATAAAAAAATTGAGCTTTGACAGCGAAGATGAAGTCCGGTCAGGAGCTGTAGCCAGTGGCAACAGAGAGACAAAGAAATGGAAGACAGAAAAGGCGGCTCAACCTGTCTTTGAAACTTTATGCAGCTTAAATCTACACATAAGCCGGAGCGGGGCGCAACTCGATATGCGGGGCATTTTTCTAATGTCGGGGCAAATTAATTAACCAAATATCTCAGCGCTTTGTTATGCTCCCTGCTCTTATCGAGAGGCTAATTATCACTATCAGCTTCCTCTGTACGTCAGTGGGATTATTAGGCTAATCACAAAGCTTTTCCCTTTGGAGACAAGGTTTTCACTCTTCGACAGAACAAAGCTGTTATTGTCCTCCAATGACACGGTGACAGCGATGAAGCGAATCAGCGTTTGTACTTGAAATGTTAGAGTAAAGCCATTGTTAACAGGCTCAGAGTTTGTGCTAGGTAGGTGGGTCTCTCAGGTGCTTCCCCTGCACTAGTTTAGTTATGTTGAACCAGTGCTTGAGCTGACTGTCAATTTAAAAAAAGCAAAAACACACCCTCAAAAGCTGTTGTGCATTGGTAGTCTGGAGCTATTTTGTTGCTGCAATTTTCCCACAACCTGTCTCACACCACTACATTCCTCGGGATGATTTTAGAAAATAAACTAATCCCTGAGAAAGTGTGAACATGTTACATTTAGCATGTACACTTATATACCACAACATTAAAACCACCTAATACTGGGTAGTGCTTCCGATTGCTTTCAAGAGTGCATGCAGAAACATGCACGTTTGCATGCGCTGGGAAGTTAGCAGTGGATCGTTTGGGGCTGGTGGGTTGTTCAGGATTGTTGCGGTCCATTTTGCTAATGCGGGTTTTGATCCGAGTCCAAATCAGAGCCTTCGATTTTTGAGAAGAGGGTTCTTGGTCTGAAACGATGCTAAGGCAGGTGATACGTGTCAAAAAAATCCACACATTTTACAGCAGAAAATAGCAATTTAAAAATATTGTCAGTCTTATTCACTTTCCCTCTCTGAGGCTTTAATGTTGTGGCTGATAGGTGTAGAATGTAATGTAATGATAATGAACCATGAGAAAGTTATTGCTGTAGTGCATTCTGGTGTGCTGAGGCTAAAAACATGATGTTGCCACATCTGTACAGTGAGGTTCTCCCTGTATTCCTGTTATTTTTTTTGTTTGTTTTTTTTTACCAAAACAAAAACCATTAAATTGGAGGGACGCTGCTGTTCTCACAACGCTAAAAACATCTGCTGAGCCAGGGAATATTGGACATTGCCGATCAAGAAACTTTAGCAGATATTCTGGAGAGTTAGATGAGAACATCAGTAGCACTTTCATTTCAGTGTGGAATCCATGAAGCCAGGTAAACTAAGCAAAAACAAAATTGCTCCTGTCAAAGGTAACAAGTCCATCTAGAACTTTAAGTGTCAATCAGCATTAAATTCGACTGGAAAAGCACCAAGTTCTTCTTAAGTCATCAGCTGGTAGGTTAACAACCACTGAGTGACCAGACGTCACTGCAGAGGGATAAAACAGAAAATGCTTTTTGTGTGGCCTTCACAGATCTCTGGAATGTTTTCCTTGGACTAACTTTTCCATATTGTTCCATGTTAAGCAATCTGCTTTGCGAATGAATGATAATAAGGATGGTTTCAATCTTCACATGTAACTCTCTAGGGAGGGGGGAAAATGAAGCATCTGGCTCATATTTACTCAGACATTAAATTTTGGTACATGAAGAAACTCAGAATCATGGGTTGTGAGACTGATAACGCCTACAAATTAAGCAGACTTTTTTTGTAAAGTACTTTAAAACACTTTTAAAGTACTTTGTTGAACCTCTTATAGGTGGCGGTGATTAGACAGTATTTCTAACAAAATCTGAGAACCATATGTTCAAATACTCTGTGTGATTGTGTCAGTTTGCTCTGTGTTGTTCTGTTCTGGCACTTTGAGGAGGTAAAAACAATGCATTTGCAAACAGCCTTCGTCCCAGGACTTACACAGTCACAGTGGCATTCTTTGGCATATGACGGGAATGCGGAGGGCACCCCTGTCTTGTTTCCTGTGCTGTGTCGCCTGCCAGCCTGAATGAATCTGCCAATTCCTGGCATTTCCCACAGAATGTGACTGGAATGTTATCTGCTTCCAAGTGGAATGCCTGGGTCACGGTTTCATCTCGGATTTCTTGAGCGACCTAGTATCCACTCAGAGTGCTTTCTCCCATAATGCAACACGCAGACGCAGTTTAAAAAAAAACCCCAGTAAGCTTTCCTTGAACAATGAGTCTAGACATACATGCAGACGATATTTTTCTTACACTGCAATGCTAAGCTGATTTGCAAATTTAAGCCAGATTCGTAGCATCTTCCCTACACACCAGATTAACCATTCAAAGAGCCTTGAAAAGATATATATTAAAAACACTTCACGAAATAAGGCACTCCAATTTTCCATTGTCCTGAAGGCGTTCAGTCTGCAGAGAGGTAGAGGCAGATGAAGCTGTGCAAGTCGCCTTATCCACCTCTGCATTGTCACAATGCTTCAAAGGTAAGGGGAGATGAAAGCAGTTGATATGAGCAGTCTGATAGAATCTGAAGATGGGGCTAGTGATCTGTATCCTGCTCCTTCAAAGGGATAGAGAAACAGAGGAAAAAAGAGAGAGAATGAAATGGGCACCAGCTATTGGTTCACAGGCAGCTATCCCACAATTCATTGTACCACCTTTCACTGGCTTTCTGGTTTCCAAAGCAGCAGGCTGGTGTATAAATAAGACCTGTGATGATTGGTGCTCCCAAAGGGGAAAACCTCCCTTGGTAGGTTGAGTCATGAGTGTGCATGTTTTTTTTAATTTTTTATATAACATCCGAATCCTTGTTCCGAAGTAGGACATAGTAGTGGAAACGGTCCTGGACTGTGCTCCTGCAATCAAATCCAGGCTCATATCATTGAGAATAAACCCCTTGTCGGGGCAAGGCTGGATTCAGAACCTGTCGTCTTTGAGTTGCGTCGGGGACTTGAATGGCTTGAGCCCCAGTATCCTGCGGGGGTGAGCCCTCTCTTTGGTGCCATCCAGAGGCTTGTTGCAGGCCCCGCAGCCAAAGTCAATAAGGGCCGAGTCAGCTGAGTTAATGGGTGCTATACGGAACGAGGGCAGTGTGGGAGAGCCGTTGGCAGAACATGGGGCAGAACGCGATGTGGGAAAGGGAGCTGAGAAGGGGTCAAAGGGTGAGGCACCATCCGAACCACTTGACGGATCAGCCTTGAGGGCAAAGGGGTCGCAGTCAGGAGAGGGGAAAGGGTCACAGTTGGTGAAGGGGTTGGTGGGTGACGGCTGATAGCTCAGTAAGTTGCTTTCTGAGCGGTGTGGGCTGCGCCCACCACCTGAGTTTCCACCACCTGCTGAGATAAAGCTCCAAGGGTCGATGCGGGGGCGGATGGGAGATGGGCGGGGCCGAGGAATGACGCTGACCTCCAGGCGGCGTGTTTTGGGGCTCCAGAGCGCAGGGTTGGGGTGGAGAGCCTTGTCATCAAAGTCCTGTGTGTCTTGGCACAAAGGCAGGTCTAAAACTGAAAAGCACATAAAAGGAAAGAAAAACATTAACGAGGCACTGAAAGACAGTATCTGTCCGAAAAACACTGGAAACATTTCAAAACACTGTTTTTTGTCAAGTATATGTAAGGTGAATATAATGTGGTGGGGTGTGCAATTTCAACTGTTTGCAACTGGAGTACAACATTTTGACAAGGTGCTAAAAATTCCAAGTGCACAGCAAGCTGCTGGCGACGATTCGTCGCTGAGCGCCTGACACTTTTTCAAGTCATTCAGAGTTCATAAGCAGTCAGTACAACACTGTGCTCATTACTGTCCCAGTGGACCCCAACCAACAACACACTTCCTTCACTGTTTGTACAAGTGCTGAACAACAAGTGAGCAGAAGTTAATGCTTGGAGGAACATTTTGTTCACTGTAGGTCTACCAGTTAAGAAACAATCAGTAGCAAGACCCACTTCAAGAAGGATTTTGACATTACCTCTGTGGATACTCAGTATCGTAGCAACCAGTGTCTCAACTGAAAAAATATTGTTGCAAATCTCTCTGAAAGCTCTGATTTTTCAGAAGAGATGGCAAAACTAAAAACCTTTTGGACCCCGTTGGACAGAGGCCCTAACTTAAGATGACCCTGCTGACATCATGAGCGTTAGTGAATTGAGGAAGTTGCCATTTCCTCATGCGGAGCTGTACTCTCCTTAATGGCTTAACCTTTTCACAAATACACAATATGAGAAAAAGGCTTCATATTCAACATATTAAACATCTTCATCATTTTGTCTTCAACTGTCTTGGTAGAAAAGTTTAATTGTTAATCTGCAAATGACTCTCAGAGTACTGCAGAACTGCCCCAGTGCGCTCTCAAACACTCCTCTCCAACCAAACTCTGCCAAACCGTGTGTGATGAAAGTGATCCAAACAGTAATATGAAATCGGTACATTACTGTTCCAAGAAGAAATGGAACAATTACCAGCACAGAATGCTGATGCAATTAGTTTAAATTAAGTATAACATAGTACAATGTAGCTCTTTGACAAAGCAGCAACAATGGCAAGCAGAGAGTGTAAATTAGTACCGACAGGAACATTAAACTCAGTATAAATCAGTCTGAATGAACATTTGCTAGTTCCAAATGTGATGTGTCTGCCAAATGGCATTATTTACATCAACAGCAACTCTCCAAGGCTGCTAAGCTATTCAGCTGACAAGAAAAGAGCAATCAAGAGTCACATGAGAGCAGGAACAAAAGTAAAGAAAAAAGCAGAGGAAGGAATCCTCTGAATTTGTCTCTTTCACATGCACATTCTCCGCCAATAACCTTGTGGCAGTGTGCCTATGCATCTGAGCCTGAGTCATTACAGCCAATAAACATAATAAGATGTTTAGCTAAAACACTCGCTGTTTAATTATGTGTGGCTTTTTAGCCGGATATAACGGGCGCACATGTTTCGGGAGATCATGGCTGTTAGCAACGGAGCAGGCGAGGCTCGTCTGCTCAGTACCTGCGGGTAGAGCTGGGGAAAAAAACCTCTCTGTGGAGAATCCAAGGCTTTGTGACTCAATCGGACCATATATAGAGTGTGAAATGTTACCCAGGGGCACTCTTAAAGCCTTCCTGAAGCCCACTCGCTCACAGAACAACCAATGCTCATACCTCCGTCATTACAGATCTGAAGTGTGTCAATGTGTTTCTGATGCATATTAGCCTTCGGAGGGATAAAACAAAACGTGACTATACTGTAAAATTTAAACGCTGATTAAACACAAAGAATTCATTTAAACACAAACCACGACACGTTTCATAATGAAGGATACTAATGCTAACTACCGGCACTACTGGCCAAGCCTGAGAAGCGATGCTGAACTTCAGCCAAATTCCCCAATCTACCCGAGCCAGTGAGGTCAAGAATAGATTAGTGGGAATTTTGAATGTGCTGCGACCTCAGCTGTGATGCCTCATGTTTCCCATTCATCTAAAGAAAACTGTCTGTCTTGGAAAGGGGTGGGCAACAAGAGAGGACTGGACGGTAGCTTTGCTTCGCAAGTATTAGCAGTGAAGGATGAAGGGCCAGCTGTTACCTGAGATATGCAAATAGGCAGAAGAGAAAGCTTTGATGTAAATGAAAAAGCTCATACAGCACTGAAGCCTCTGTTGTGCCAGAAAGATCTTGCTAAAGAAAAAATAAAAAGGCACAATAATTCTAAGGAACTGTGAGGGAACATTGTAATGCTGAGGCGGTACATTATTCAAGGCAAAGGCTGGATCAGAATTGCAGGCTGTCCTGTAGACACACTCTGAGGAATGCAGATGAATTATACAGCTAAATTAAAACAACAAACAAATTATTTTACCAATCTGGAGACGACACTGCTTTAAAAACTGCACTTTTATCAAGCAAAAATATGTACAAGATGCAATTTGCTTCCTACATGGCCCATAATGAAGCTTTAACGTAAGGTCAATATGGGAGTAATCACATAATGTGTTCGGCTACTTTTCTGTTTACATGTCTAACACTTTCCCACACTGTCCATCTGATTACTGACATCATTACTCGAGTCCAATCATCTTCTCGCCTGCCTTCTTGGAACCAATCAGCCTGGTTTAAATCTGTGCTCTTGGTCATCCTCCCTTTCAGACTGTCTCCTCCCCATCTCCACCTCAGAAACCTCGGCCAGAGCTCTGCTTAAGCCTCAGTCTTCATCTTCACCACCATCAGTGTCTAGACTCCGGGGGGTCCTGTCCTAAATCCTATCACTCCTGGGATTCTATTCTGCCATGATGGGTCATCGGAGTCTAATTGCCAAATAATTAATTTCTCTCTCCCAATAAATTACGTTCAGTTCTTCCAAGTTATCTCTTCTTATTGAAAAGCAACTTAAAGAAGACCAATTATGCTTTTCTGTATTTTCTGAATATGTATAACATTATGACTAGGGATGGGTACCGATTTCACGGTAGTAATCAGACCGAAAAGCTTTATTTATGCTTTATTTCTGTGCTTTTTTTCCCTGAGATGTCATACACTTTGGATTCTAGCCAATCATTTTACCTTTCCGAGGATAGTAGGCGGGCCAAGGTACGTACGTTCTTTTAGAGCAGAGCTACAGATTAAAAATGCCCAAGGCGAAGCGATCAATGTCTGGCTGTACTTCACAGCAAAAGATGCAAACTCAGCAGCCTGCAACAAGTGCTTTAAGCTGATACTGTGCAAAGGAGGTAACTCCTCGAATCTGATGAAACACCTGGCGACGCATAGCGTTTCTTTAAAAGCCGAGAAATGCACCGCATTTGATAGCTTGCTGCAAGACCTCACTCCGAGCGCATCTACTGCGGGTGTGTGGTGCCTGTTATCGGACCCGGAGTTAGCAACATCCCCCAAGAACCCGAAGAGGAGAGTCCTGGCCCCTAGCCCTGCCAGTGTAGCAGAAATGATGACGGATGATGATGGCAGCAGCAGCCGTTCTTCTCTGCGTGAGTAGTTTAATGTTGTTCCTGTGTAATTTATGTTGAGTAGGCTAACCACATTATTAAATTAATGCATGTAAGGTGAACTAGCAAACACCGTCGTAGTTACATGCGTCTGCCTTCTTGTTTGATGGCAGATACTCCCTGCACCCTGGCCAAAAAGGCTAAAATGACCAAAGAAAAAGAGGGAAACAGCTGAACATGAGAGGTTTTTGGACAAAGTTTGTGTTTTTTCCATTGTTTAAGCACTGCTTCCAGCCAAGAGTGATACCATTTATGCCCATAGCTGCAGAAAAGGCACACATTGTTATCTTTTTACAAAAAAAACAGCTGAACATGAGAGGTTTTTGGACAAAGTTTGTGTTTTTTCCATTGTCATTCGTCATGGCAGCTGTTAGTGGGTTGGATATGTTAGAGAGCAAGTGAACATTCTGATTTCAAAGTTGATGTGTCAGAGACAGAAAAGTATGCAAGGGTAAGGATTTGAGCGAGTCTGACAAGCACCAAACTGTAATGGTTGGACGACTGAGTCAGAGCATCTTCCAAAACTGCAGCTCTTGTGGGCTGTTCTCAATCTGTGGTGGTCAGTGTCTATGAAAAGTGGTCCAAGGAAGGAACAGTGGTGAACCAGAGACTTGGTTACAAGCAGCCAAGGCTCACTGACACAGATGTGGTCCAATGCAACAGATGAGCTGCTGTAGCTCAGATTGCAGAAGAAGTTCATTGTAGATAGAAAGGTGTCAGAATACACAGAGCATCGCAGTTCTTTGCCAATTTTTGAAGCAAAAGGGGACTAATGCAATATTAGACAAGTGGTCCCTTTCCCACCGGCTACTCAAGCCTTTTGTTTTGAAGGCAAGCCAATCAGAAGAAAACAGATAAAAGCAAGGGGGGCTTAAAGGGAGAGGAGCTAAAAGACGGCATACGAAACAAGATAAATATAAATAACATTGATAAATATAATTATATATTAAGTGTCATAAGGACTGTTTTGATCTGTGAATCATACAGCTCTAGTCAAATCAAGAATGCATATAGCAGGTCTCCTTTAATCCAGTTTTGTTCATTCTGTACTTTCTGTCTCACAGTAATAAAAACATCTTCTTCTTTTTTTTTACTTTATTTTCTGATGGGGTTGCCTGTGTAAAACAAACTCGGACCAACCTAGCTGAGAAGCGTGCAGGCCTTGGCTGGACCTCCTCCTCCTGTCAGCTCTGTGTTCCCAGGAGTCACTGCTCAGCTCCCCGTTACTGGAACTGTAAGTGGGGGTCCACTCCCCTGGGCTGGTCCTGTCGTGCTGCATGGAGGCACTGCTGGGACTCTGCGGACTGTGTGGCGTCCGGTGGCTGCTCCTCTCGCGGGGGTTTGGTGGAGGCGGTGTCAGGGGTAAAGGCTTTAGTTCTTGGTATTGCAGCGCTAAATCCAACAGGGGTCTGGGGAGCGGCTCCGAGGTGGAGAAGGTGATGAGATCGTCCACTACTGGAGGGTCTGAAATGAGGGGCCTAGGATGAGAAATCTCAAGTTCAGAGAGGCTGCGGCCCTCTAAGCAAGGTGGGTGAGTTCGAGGTGGCACTCTTGGGGGAATATCCAGGCAGCGACCAAGTCCTATGGAGGCAAGCAGGGAGCCGCTGCCCAGCAGGGCTCGGTGGGTGCTGTTAATCAGGCCACCGAGAGGCCCCCTCTCAGGCCTTGGAGAGCTAGCTGGGGAAGAACTCCCTTCCTCACTGCCCGAGTCTCCTTGAGACAGAGGAGGCCACGGGCTATCCTTCACCGATGAGCCTGCGGAAAAAGAAAGGTTTTAAAAAGACACAAGGAGAGCCCAAAATAGAAGAAGAGGAATACTCAATGTATTTATAATTCATTTAGCTTCGATTCATAATTCACGGTCATGGCAGAGAGAATTAGAAAGGAGGCTAAGTGGAAGATAAGGTGGTAAAGCTGGTGGTGAAGGGCAGTGGATACCATTCTGAGCAGGTGTAGGGGTTGGCGTGACGGGTCGGTACTCCTCAAAGTCATCCTTGGAGTCTCCATTCTCATTGCTGTCTGCCTTCAGGAGCTTAGCTCTCATCGACAAGCTGAAAACAGGAAAGATTTCAACTTAAGCATGGTGATGGTTAAGCATATCAAATCCATACACACAGAAGGAATAAGCAATTCTGCCGTACCTGCTTTCCTGGGGACTAAGGCGCAGGACTTTAGGACTTTTGGGACTTTTGGGGCTCTGTGGCCTCCAATGAGGGCTCAACCTGAGGTCTCCGTTGACTTGTTTATGAGAAGAGGTATCCAGGGAGGGCCGGACTGGGCTGAGACCGAAAGTCCTGCTGTTGTCACTGGGTACTGCAGAGAAGAGGGGAGAGAATACAATCAGTATGAGCTCGTTTATTATCAGCTTAGTTGCGTTCTAATCGGGTGAGTACGATCATCTCTAACACAGTTGACTTTAGAGCTACAATTCATGAAACTTGAATTTAAATGAAAGTTTAAGCTCCAGCGGACTTTAAAACAGATCATGTGACCACAGCCTATACCACAATAACAGCCGAACAGTCACAGGGCAGAAAGTGTGAAAAAAGGTGCCAAAGTTATCTGGGGGGTGAGCTCCAATGCAAACTTCTGATTAAAGCTGGCACTGCACCTGCCAGACACTGGCGGCACACCAGCGGGCTCGTGCTGCTAACACAAAGTGTGTGAACAGCGCGTGAACTTTCAGCCAGCCTGGGCTCTACTGTCACAACACATATGGACTCCATCACACCCTTCCTAAGGCCTCGAGGATCCTTCTCAGCATGTCAACACCCAACAAGCCAGAAGAGCTATAAGTGGAATGGGCACCACAGTTACATACTGCACATGTCAAGGTGAAAACTTTGAAGCTGTCAGTTTATTCCATTGAGTTGTGGTTCTGTTTTTATCCCCAGTGTTTTGCGCTGCCATTTCATTTCAGCTTCAGAAATGGGAAAAGTAAATATGCTCTCTGATTGGACATGCTGTATTATGTCCTTTGGCCTGTACTGCGGCAGAGGCCTGGCTGATGCACTTTACCGCCCGTCACTCTCCAGCACTATGTTTTCAAAGCAAGCACAGGAGGCAGATGATAGTGCTGGCGTTACGATTTTATAAAGATCACACTGTGGCTCCCCATTCCCAGCCTTTTCCTCTCTGAACTCTTTTCCTTTTTCAGTGTGCCTCTATTAATATCAACATGCTTTCATAGAATATATTTTCTCATCATTTTGTAAAGCTCACAGGTTTTCTCCTCTGCCCCACGCTGATCAAATCTTTCTATTAACAGTGAAAAAAATTAAGAGAAATGCTTCTACTGTTGTTCTGACAGGAAATATATTTTGTTAACGTATTAAAAAAAATCCACACACTCCTCCACACTGATATATTTTTATTTAACAAACAAAAAGGCCAAAAAGGTAAGCCTTTTATGGTTTTTGCACACATTTCTGCAGTGCTTCGGAGCCTAGATGTAAAAGTAAATGATACATTGCTTTCAACACAAGTTGGTGACATTGTGACACCGAGTTGATAACGGAATATTCAGAAATAGAGGTGGTTTTAGGTGTGAAAGTAAAATTGTGGACATCAGGAACTCATCAGAATAGTGAGCAGCTGCCTTTTAAAAGGACACATCTCTACATATGACCGAAAAGGCTCTTTGCCTTTTTCCAGCTTGGGAGGAAAACACAGGGAATGGCGATCGCAGAGGCAACGACGTCTGCCTCGGGTAGATGTTGGAAGATGAAAATGTTTTATTGTTACAGTATATTTAACCTTTGCTACGTTGCACATTTTAAATGCTTTGGGATTTTAAGAAGCTTCTGAAAGGCGTCAGTGTGATCCTGACTGGATGCTATTGTAACAAACGTTAGCTGGTTACAGGCTACAGGGCTGCTGCAACACAGCCAGCACAATCATCTTCATGCTTTTTCCTTATTAACCTGACTTCTATCAATGTTTTGATTTTGCGCAAACGACAGCGTGGCGGCGATTCCCACGCTCTGTAGCATTTAGATCATCAATTAAAAGTCCAAATTTAGCCTGCTGTACCTCAGGTACTGGAACTGGAAGAAGGAAAAGGACTAATAGAACCAAATCTAATCCTGCCCCCGCAGATAGAAAAAATAAATAAATAAATGATGACAGCAGTATCCATAAGCTGCCAACACACATGACACAGCCAACCTACTGAGATGCTAAAAACACAAACTATTACAATCTCAGAGTTCAAAAACTCTCTAAAAATAAGAGGCAGTTTAATTTTCAACATATCTATTCAGTAAAAATATGGCACAGTGGAATCTAGCTCTGTGGACTAATGCAAATCAATTTGGCAGTTCTCTAGACAAATCAGTACGGGAGGCCCTTGCAATAAATCACTGCTTGCTACCGAGAGGGCAAGCATAAATATCCACTAAACACATTTTAATGACAGGCACACTCATGGCTTAGTGACTGCCATTAAGCAGAGTCATTAGGAAGTAAAGAAAACCAGCCCGCTACTTAATGAATAAATGAAGCTGGCAGATGTTTTAGATTGACTAACCACTTTATAGATAAATGTTTCACTGCAATTTGTGCTTTTATGTTAACCCGCGGTGGTAATTGTTTTGTGAAGTCTCTTTTATTGCCTGTTGCTACACCACAAAATTTCCTTTTGGGTTGTATTAAAACGCCCCGTGACCTGCTGGCTACAATTTCCCTCCGAAGGGAAAAATCTCGGGCGTTTGTCTAAGAAGCCGACAAGCAGGCGAGCAATGTAGATCTCTGCCGCTGTTGCAACCCTTTTCTCCTGGAGCAGTGAATTCCTCCCTGCTTATTTTTAATTCAGTAAACCGCACTGTAGCCACTACATGCATATAAAAACTGTAGACGCTTAAGTGCCTGGAAAACATAGCTGAATAGCTCCCCCCACTGCAGCACTGATGTAACTGCAATCAGCAGGGGAGCAGAGCAGGGCAGCGGCGGAAAAAAAAAAAAGCTGCTGAGAAGTGCTGAGCTGCTGAAAGGAAGTCAGATAATATTTGGACTGGAACACACTATTGAAAAGGGAAAAGGGTGTGTGTGAGAGAGACAGAGCAGTGAGGGGGAGAGAGAGAAAGGGAGCTGGGGCCCACAGGGAAATGGGAAGACAAAAAGATGAGTGGGTGGTTGAGAGCACATAAAAGGAGTAAATTTGGAAATGGAGACGAGTAATGTCGCAACAGAGTCTGTGTGTGCATGCAAGATGGTGAGAGACGTTATTCTTTTGCTTTTCTCAGCGCGTTGAGAAACGCCTCCACATACACTCGATATATATGTACGTAAAAACGACTGCACTCACACTGGATAGCGCGGAACCGCGGTCCAAAGGAAGGTGAGGAGCCCGAACCCAAATCGGGAGAGTTCCGCCTTTTCTCCAGGCCTGGGGATGCCTGCACCGTAATTTTATGTATGAAATCTGAAAGACACACAACAGGATGTAAGACATTCATAAAGTCAAGAAATGTCAGCTGTTTTTGAGGTTGCAACATTTTTTTTTAGCTTCCTTATTTCTCTAAAGAAGCCAAGAGTTTGCTTTTGTAGAAATCGAGTGTTACACAAATTGTGATAGCAGTATTTCATTACATATCTATAAAACGCAGGAACTGAAGCAGACTTTAGCTGTCACACCTTCCACAGCCGATTTGTGCACTAATATGAGCCCCAACATGGCATTTCCCCCACGTTCTTTCAAATGCAATTGTATTTATCCTAGTACTCCTCATGTGTTCTTTGCAGTTATTACTGTCATAATAATTCCAAGTGATAACACATCAATTTGAAGTTTTCAGCGTTGAACCAAGCCAACCAGCAATGAAAGGACTCGTGACCATAAAAACATTTGATCTAGATAAAAAATTAATAAAAAAGAAAAGGTCAAAAATGGAAAAGGCACAAGACTGTTGAAATAGTTTTTAAAGTGAAGGAACTATTCATCCCACTGCAACCCACAGCAAATCCCAAATTCCACAGCAAATAACTTCCAACCCTCTTGAACTGAGTCCTTTTCATTAGTTTTGTATAACAGCTTTTAATACACTTTGCAGTTTGTGGTGTGTGTAAAGCTTTGTTACTGATATGGTACAGTGCTTTGTTTGAGACTGCAATCACTGTTCTCACACTTTCTGAATTTTTCCCGCTCACTAAGCAACCTAATATTTGCAGTTTAAACGTTTCCATGGTTACGCCTCCACCAATCAGGGGCATTGCTTTTTTGATTTAGGATTGTGGGTAGAGTAGTTTTTTCGAGAGAGAAAAAAAACAAGGTTGATATCGTAGAGACCTGTGGTTTTTACAGGGGCATATATGGTATCACAGTCTCGCAGCTCACATCAAGTCTACTTTGGGTGCTTACAACATTATGGCTCATAATCAAAATCTCTCTGCAGAACACAAACAGGATTTTTATTTTTAAAATCTCACTGATGAGCTTTGATATAGGCAGATACATAATTGGAGGACTCACGAAAGACCTTACTCTTTCCATGTATCAAGCATTAAGGAAGCTACTAGTGGCAATGGCTGATAATGGCATGCTGATTAAAGTCCGTGTTTAACTACAACACTGATATTACTCAGAAAGGCCTGCAGGCCAATTAACACTATTCTATTCTACAGATAAACTGTAAAATTAATGAAAGACCTACATGTGGTGTCAGAAAGGAACTGCTACTGTTTGCTAAAGTTTGCTAGTGCATGTTGCTATGCTAATAGAGGTTAAACTAGCTAGCTAATTTAGCACATGAGGCAGCTAGCTTTAGCTAGTTAGCAAAAGTAGTGATTTTATGCAGAGTAACTGTTATGCAGTCGATAGACATGGAAGATAGGTGTATATGTTAAAAGCAGGACAAATTATTTACACTGTTACTATCCCAAAAATTTCACATTCATCTAAATTATTGCAAATCAGTCACCAATCTTGCTAGTGCTCAACTTGCTAAGGCAGCCTATCTGTTAAAAGGCCATATATGCAAAGCTTAACGAGTCTTCCTTAGTGAAGATTTTATGTTAAGATTGTATATTTCTGAAATGTTATGATTTAGATGTCTTACTTTTGTGTTTTAACACAGTTACAAAGTATCCCATGCTTTACTTTCTCAGATATTTTTGAATATGTGTGTATGTGGGGAAAAAAATATCCCAAAAAGGACACATAAGTATGTTCCAGCTACTGAACCCCCTCCAAAAAGCCCACAATATATATGTTACTGCAGGGTATAAAGTGCAAGTTTAATATAGGATGGAGAAAAAGACAATAATAATATTGGTGGGAAAAGGGGAAAAAAAGAGAAAGGGATTCAGGCACATACTGTAAGAAGGAAAATAAAACCAGTGGCCAGGGAGCTAAAGAGGAAAAGGAACAAGACAAAATGGGTGAGGAAGGTATGCTTAAAAAGAAAGAGGGAGAGAGAGGCACAGAGTGAGAGCAAGAAAGTGAGAGAGGCCAGCCAGCAGTCTGTCCATGGACAGGAAGTGTCGAGGCGTGGTTGGCTCACTCTCCCCTCTCATCAACCCCCCACCACTACCACCACATCACCGCCCTGCTGCTGCTGGGAAAGGCCTAACCACAACACACACATACACAGCGTGCATTTATGCATGCTTGCTCAGCCCAAAATACATGCTTTGAAACACTTGATGTGAACTGCTGCAGACTGTGTGACTTTGTGATAGCTCAGGACAAGAAACGGCAGTCAGGTGAGTAAGAGAAGAAAAAGAGGAGGGCAAAGTGAATCCTGGTCAGAGTAGATATCCTCCACCTTTAAATTATTTATTTATTTTTAGATGGGGAGGGGAGCTGCTGAAAAAAAGATTTAAAAATGACAAACTTTTTTATAATAGCGCAAAACTGCACCTATCTGCAGCCTCTCTTTCAAAATGTCAATCTTTACATGAGTTCAGCCCTGATAGCAATTTTCCAAGGAGCCGTGCTACAAAAATACCAGTCGTGCCACAAAAACTCTCCCTCACTTCCTTCTCACTGCTCTCTTGCATGTGTTTTTTTGGACCGTTGTTATTTTTTGCTTGTTGAGACTGACCAAGAAATCGAGTCTGATCTCTGACAGAACAAATCAAAGGTAGATAAGATGGATAGACGGATATAAGCCGACGCACCTTGGGGCATGCTGATCTTCTCGCCGTTCTTGGACTTGAGTTTGTGCTTTTTGAAGGTGCCCTTCCTCTTCTTGACATTAGGTTTCTCCTGGTTCTGGTTCAAGTGGAGGATGAGGAGGCTGAGCTCACGCTCGAACACATCCTGCTCCCACTGGGCCAGCTGTTGCTCACGCTGCCGCAGGAACTCTTCGTGAGATTTCTGCTCCAGAGCTGCTCGCTTTAGCTCCTCTTCACGGCATCGCAGCTCCTGATGGAGGGCGAAAGGCAAGTGAAAGAAAGTATTTAGAAGTGAATTAATATCAGCAGGTCTCGTGTGTGTGACTGAGGTTATGCAAATTTACAGTTTAATGAAACAAAATTCTGAGAAAATTGGTAGCAGTGAAAGCTATTATTATGCATGATGACTCACAGCTGCTCTTTGACATTTTATTTGATGGGTTTCTCCTCCTGGGATACTACACTAAATACTCTGTTAAATACTGTGCTGCTAAGAACATGGCTAGAGGGGCTCGGTGACCCCCAGGCCACAGAAATAAGGGAGAATAACAAAGACTGGCAAGACACCTCAGCTGCTGTGGCTCTTAGAGTTAGGGTGCTTTTCCAGAAACCCCTGAAACATACAATATTTGTTGAGGACTTTGGTTGTCCTGAGCTGTGGGATCTGCTCAAGCAGAGGGGATGAAAAGCCCACCTATGATGAGGCTGTGCTTAAAAACCAAAAATCCCACTATAATCCTGTTGTCATAAACAACTGTAGGCCTGACAGCTCCACCCTTCAACATTCATTGTGGAGTATATCCACTATCTCTCCTCTGCACATTTCCAAACCATCTCAACGTGAGCTGTCCGTCTGATGTACTTCTTTCTAATCTTGTCCCTTCTGGTCATCAACATCTTGATCGTCAACATCTTCAACCAGCCACCTCCAGCTCTCGCTCCTGTCGTTTTGTCAGTGCCACATGCCACAGCGGGTCTCACTACCACGTTGTAAACCTTCTTTTTCACTCTTGCTGCCATCCCTTTGTCACAAATCACTGCTGACACTCGTTTCCACCCACTCCACCCTGCCTGCTCTCTCTTTTTCATCCCACTTTTGCAGTGTCCATTCCTTTGGCTGGTTGACTCCAAGTATTTAAACTCACTGAGTGAAGTAACAAACTTACTGCCACCAAAAGACCAATTCAGAGCCAGAATAAATCTCCAGCTGATGGTGTGTTGAACCATAATAAATCAACGAAACACATTAAAAGAAAAAACTGCACAGAAATGTCAACATGAACATTAACCCGGATCATGTGGTTAATGAAACATGTTCAGTTAAATGTCAGTAGTGGGCTTTGTGGATGACTTCATTTTAATATCAGTACCATCAAGTTGTTATTATTTAAAATGACATTTTCTAAATCAGAAGCTAGCCCTGGCAAGGGCATGGCTTAGTGATTCAGAGTTGAGGGCCTCTTACCTTCTCTTTAGCCCGGAGTTCATCAAACATGTCCTGGATCTCCAGTTTCCAGTCCTCCTGCAAGGAGTGGAACGAATCCTGCGGCATCTCTTCCTTCACCTGCTGCTCCAAGGCCATCAGCTGGGCCAGGATGGAACTGAAATTGGGTCTGCGATGGGGGTCCTGGTCCCAGCACTCTGTCACACATACAGGGGATACAGTGAGTCACAGGGATGCAGTTGGTGCTATACCAAAGTGACGTGCATATGTAGCTGTCCAGAAGTAATGGACCAATCAGAAATACAGAGCGATTAGAAACGTTACAGTTGGGGGAAAAGATCAGAGGTTACTTTAACTGACAATAAGACGACAAATTTACTCATTTCTAGGACAGCTTCACATATTTTGAGCATTTTCTTAAAATCAAGGGACCTGAAAGTCCCTCATTCATTAATTTTAATCCTCAGACAAAATGAAAAAAAAAAAAAAAAAGAAGAAGAAGAATTTCATCATCCAACTGAATGCCGTCACCTGAGATTTAAAGACTTAAAATTAGGTCAGATAACTACATGAGGCGTATGTCTTTGCACTTATTACATGTAATATTGAACAAGTAACCTGCAAAGCCTCTAACTTTTATTTACACATGTTTCAGGCACTTTGTGTGAGCACAATTTAGAGTCAAGCTGATCACTTATTCAAAGTGTCATGCTTAATTAACTTGCTGCGGGGACTTTTGCATAATTTGCTTCTAAACTTTAGGCATTACAAGAAGATCAAAAACCAATCCAATAATTAATTAATCCTCTGAGGTGGCTACTGGTTGTTTTGTGCACTGATCCTGACTTAGGAAAAAACAAAAAAACGACAAAATGACATCAAGGGAAAGGGAATCCAAGTGTCTACTTTTCTGGACCAGCTGGTAGCTTGACAGCAAGCACCCAGGTGGCATTTCTTCTTACTTTAAAACCAAAAAACAGAAGATAAATGGGCACAAATGTATTGCATAAGATGGCTTCTGCATAAAACGCTTCCTCTCAATGGCCACGTTACTGACAACATGCAGGGATTTGGGGAAATGGAAAAGAACGCGTGCTCGGGACAGCAACCTGATGGCACGCTAAAGTCCTGTCACACCACTGAATCGAACGCCAAAATTTCGTTACATTTCTGCAGGAGTGTACCACCTGACATGAGCTGCGCAAAAGGTTCGGGGCACGTGGAAGGGATGGGCAGGGTGAGCTTGTTGACGGCGACTCCATAGGCGACAGCGAGTCCATCGATCCCTCTGTAGGGTGCCTCTCCTGTTAGCAGCTCCCACAGCAGAACACCATAGCTGGAGGGGAAACAAGCCAGACAACGAGGCATGACACAGTGAGCTCGAGCCAAAATTAGACACAGGATGTTGGAACACTTCATTATGTTTACGCTGCATATACCACTTATATTTACATTTCTATGTGATATCAACCAAATTACCGTCGCATTTAAACAGCAAACAAAACCTCTAGGCTTGTGTGTTAGAAAGAAAATGATTTTTTTGCCCCCAAGCTGCCATGTGAGGATGTTTTTCTATCTGGAAGCTGTTAGTGCAAACTACATTTCATTTATTTAACAGTGATAGCGAACAACGATCAAAACAAGAAGAAGATTAAAAAACTCACAGCTAGGGTGTAAATGGACTGGTATTTATGTGCAACCCCAACTCCAAAACAGTTGACATGGTGTGTAAAATATAAATATAATACAGAATGGAGTGATTTGCAAATCTCATAAACCCAGAAAAGAGAAAATACACTAATTTAAGAAGAAAACAGTTTTTAGGATTTTATTTTGAATTTGAGTTGGGACAGAGCCATGTTTCCCCACTGTGCCACATATCCTCTTCTTTTAACAACAGTCTGTAAATGCCTGGGAACTGACGAAACCAACTGCTGGACTTTTGGGGGAGGAATGTTGTAATCTTACTCGCAGTGATGACATGAGGAGACCAAACAACTAATGTCGCTGTGAGTTTGGAGTCTATTCATGAGGTAAAAGGCAGACTGACAACCTGTTCAGGGGTAACACATTCCTGCCTACGGCCAATTTAGAACCAGCAGTTTATCAAACATGCATCTATGGACTTCAGAAAGGAGCAAGCAGAGATAACCAGAGAACCCACACAGCAGGCGGGGAACTTTTCACTGCTCTTCCGATGAGCAAATGAGCTGTTCTACAAGTTGAGCTAGACTTACACTAAGTGGGATATGAACATTCAGCATTAAAGACATTTTAATCTCGTGTACCCAGACAAGCTACTCCCTGCTGCAGCCTGGAGTAGACAGGAAGAGGGAGGAGCATGTAAACGGTGTTGTGGATAAAGTGGTATAATTGAGCTATTTCGACCAGCGGTGGATAAAATCAACACACCTTCTGAGAAAACAAAATTATTTAAAGAATAATTGATTAAAATATGTTTCAGCTTCAAGAATTCAATACCAATTCAGTATACAATGACTTGCAAATCAGTGCATTCTGTTTTAATTCACGTCTCAGGAAAGAAGGTAAGAAGAAGGTAAGATGATAACTTTTAAATCCGGGTCATCTTTCATTCCAATTCATGCTTTGTACAGCAAAGATTATCTTTTATACCTTCTCTATGACAGCGGTGACAGAGAACCAAGAGGTCTTTGTGCAGTGGAATATTTCTGCTTGATGAAACACGTGCTTACATAGCACTGTGAACTCATGCATGCAAAACTTGCGCAAACACAAGTACACAAAGACACACACACACACACAGGACTTTTGAGCCCACACAATGGGATCAGCCCTGTGTCCTAAGAAGATGAAGTGTGGCGTAGGACTTGGATCTCCCACACTGTCAATTAGCCCTCGCCCGGACCTGACTGAACACACACTGCAGGCTCACTAAGTGGAGAGCGCAGGCCGCAGCCTTTTTTTATTTAGTTCTTTAATTACAACTTCCACACACTGTGACTATGCAGAAACGCCGCTCGCCGGCTCGCCCCGAAGCGGTCGTCGTCTGCGCATGGTGGCTTTGGAGACGAGCGGCCGTGGACAGATGAGAAAGAATACAAAAACAAAGATTAGCCTTCATTTCTTCAGAGCGGGGCTGCCTGCCTGTTTGCTCGTTTCACCGGTTTCCAGATTCTGCAGTGAAATTTCACTTTGTGTGGGTTTGCAGTTGATGGACAAAGGCTATGGAAACTGCCTGCCTGCTGAGCTGGTTTCATATAGGATCTGTATGTAGAAGTTCACATCTATAGGATTACAATTAAACCACAGCACATTAGAGTTATCATGCTTTTTTTTTTAATAGTTTTATCTGTTGCTCAGTGAAAACATCCCTGCTGCCTTATTCCAAATGCAAATTCATGTACTGTGCACTTCAATCACAAATCCCCTCTCAACAAATCACACAGTTGTTTAAGGCATTATTATAAAACCACAAGCCATAATCAAGGGACTCTGTGTAGATGTGGCCAGACACACACACACACACACACACACACACACACACACACACACACACACACACACACACAAAGATATTCCCAGATAAAGGGCTGCGGTTAGGTCGGGTGTGTGGCCTCCTTCTCCGTCTATACTGGAGACAATGGGACAGTGTGCAGCACACATGTCCCACAACAAAGCACAGAGCAGCTTTTTGAAGAGACGCCATCACATGGTCGTGGCAGCCTTGCTGCAATCCATCACTCTGTCCCTCCATCTCTTCATCACAGAGTCTCCCACTATCACTTCTCTGTTCTTTCACCCTCTAATTCTAACCCATCACTTTGTCCTTTGGACGACAAGTCTACATACACACAAAGCTTCAAAAGACCAATTTCAAATTCTTCAACAATACCAACAGAAAACACGGACATATATGAGCTCCTTCAGTAAAGTCACCTTGCCGATGATTAAACTGCTAACAATTTTAAGGATTTTGAGATATCTCAAGTCTCCTGATACCTCCCTTTCCTTTTACCAGTAAATTTCTTGCTGAAGCTTGCTTGAAGATTCATTAGCTAAGCTTGGCATGAAGGCTGTAAAAGCGGAAACGGCTAGCCTGGAACAATGCCAATTAATTAACAATAAGCTTTAGCCATGGTGGTGGGTGGATGTTATAAACTTTCCACAAAGCAAGGCTGGGCGCTTCCCTATCCTGTTCTCCTTTATTGCTAAGGTAAGCTAATAGCCTTCAGGCCTTCCTTTATATATACATATATATGAGTGAGAGTGGTTTCCCCTAGACTGGGTGCTTTGGGAGGATGGGTGTTACTCTTCACCTTTAGTTTTAGACAAAACAACACTTGTCAAGAAGCTTTTCTTGCACTTTAAGTTGGCCAACAAGTTGTGGGAGTCATCAACTCCAGTAACACCATCCTCTCCTCAGCTACTCCCTTCCCTGATGTGCTCCTCCCTGCCCTCTCACTGTTTCGCGCAGGGAAACTAGAGAAACAAGCCTGACAATGACTGATTGCAAAATGCAGAAGAGACTGTGACACTGTATGAAAAAGGTGAACTTTTTGTAGTAAATAAATCACTTTTTAATTTTTTGTGTTGTGTGAGTAGGCTGGATGGCGAAGGCAATGGCGGCAGACAATCTTTTGTTAATTTAATGTCTGCAGGAAAGGAAAGAATCATATTTGCTCAAATGTAAAACTATTCTTGTAAGGTGTTGAGAATTACATCATCTCTTTTCCCAGGCCACAACAGTCTTTTAATAACAAACTGTTTATAAGGACACACATTCACAGACTTACCTCCAGACATCACTGCCTTTGGAGAACGTGGAGGACTTGATGACTTCTGGGGCCATCCAGGCATAGGTGCCAGCGGTGCTCATCTTTGTGGTCTTGTGCCATTCTCTTGCCAGGCCAAAGTCTGTAATCTTCAACGTCAACCCCTCCATACATTCATTTTCTATGGGCTCAGCCAGAAGAACTTCAGGAAGACGATGTAGATGGTAGGTAGAAAGGAAAGGGTGGGGGGGGGAGACAAATTAATAAAAATGTTTACTATGCAAGTCGAGAAATGTGTTTTGGTTAAAAGTCATTGAAATGCATCGCTGCAGAGATGCACTTGTCTTGCTAGTAGCAGGGGAAAAAAAACCAAAACGTCACACTAAACTGAGCAATGTCTTCAATACGCACATTCACACATTGTCAGTTTCTTTTTCACTTCCTCTTCCTCTTATTTTAGGCCTCTAAAATTCAAGTCGACAAACATAATTTGCTTCAATTTGACCAATCGATGGAACTACATAAACCTCTGCCTAGTTAGACTGGCAGTGGTAGGTGATTGGCAGCGTACACAATACGCTATATAGTACGTTAGCACATCAAGCTGACCTGTGCACGATTGGGAGCTGGGCCAGACTCTGTCTCCACCCTCAGCTGAACTGAGCTGTGCTGTCAGTGAACTGGCTCGACATGTTGGCCACATGAGGAAATATATAGAGGAAGCACCATTTCTAAAACAAATGTGTTCGGTGACTCCAATAAAGAAGTATTTCTTTTAGGAGCTATTATGATACCCAAATTAAAAGTCTTCCAGCCTTTCTGTTTTTAATCATCCCCCCCATTAAATTTTTTATCCTCAAACTAGCCTGTTAGCAAAATCACCACCGCATTTCTTAAGCTAGCTCAATAACTATTCTCAAATTTAGCCAGCTAGCTCCTGTTAGCTAAAGGAGCAGCAATTATATACTATATAGACTGTTTTAATAACAGTTAATGATATACACTTTAAACAATATCAAACCTCTTTAACTGTTAAACCTCGGGCAACTACTAAATGGGTTATCACACAGCCAAATACATTAAAAATACAAAATTGTTCTGTATAACCAGCTAACGTTAGCTACAGCCACTTCACTTTGATACTTAACTAATAAAAATGTTACCTATAGAAATAATTATTGGCTTATTTTATATTTACTGCATTTTATGCAGCTTCTTATTGCCAAATTCAGAATGACTTACATTTTCTGAAATCACTCACTACTCACTGTATAGAGGGCCTGGATGCATGGTTAATATTGCAATACCCTGTTAGAATCACTTATCCCACAGAGACTTCTGAAAATAATAATTTATAAATGAGCAAGGCCTTAATAGTTGCAGTAAAATGTATTTTCAATTCAATTCAAACACCCATTTCTTTTATGCTGGTGCTTTTGCCTGATGTGGATCAGTTTTAAAAGGTGCAGAAAGAAATGATAAAAAATATCTCCTTCAGCCTATTAGATGAAGCGCAGCATTTAAAAATGCCATCGCAAGATATTTATTTGCACAAACTCAACAACTCAAACTCAAAAAAAGAAACATCTTTCATCTTGCTGCCCTTACACACAGAAGAGCATTACAAGAGCTCACAGTGTGCACCCATCTCAACTGCACAAACAAAAAAATATTACTGCAATATTGCAAGTAAAGCTTATTCCTGTATTCTATTTTCATTAGTGACACTCATTTTTCCAGCCTCTTATCTGGCGCCTGCAGACCGCCATCTGACTGCTGAGCTACAAGTATGTTCAAAGCAAGCAGAACCCACAGCTATAAGTCTAAACAGCTCTTTAAAAGATGTAATCTTGTGTTTTTCCTTACTGGCTACATATAGCATTACAGTGTTCATATTAAAGAGAGCCAAAGTAGATTATTGAACGTTTTAGAATTTAAATAATACTCAGACGTAGGACCTGTTCCGATATTTCGTGCTTTAAAAATATGATCTTTTTTTCCCCCCATTTCAGACACACAAAAAATAAACAGATTTCCCTGACATTTATCGTGTGTAGTTATTTATTTACTCATTTATGCTGTGCCCAACTCTGGTCAGATGATTGCTGTGTTTCCAAACACGAGTGCAACCAACAGGGAAGTGGCAACGTGCCCTCTGTTAGGAAAACTGAGCAACATTAATGCTCATAATTTAAGCGGTTTACTTTTTTAATTTTTGCTTTTCAACTGTTGCAAATGCTGATACTGATAGTTCGGAAAAAGACTGTCAGTAATGTCGGCGCGCTGATAAATTTCTCGGCTCTATTAAAAAATATCTTATCTTTGATTTGGTCAGTTGTAATTTGATACAGAGGAAGCTTCCAGTGGGTTCCTGTTTTTGTCCTCTCAAGTAAATTAGGTAATGCACTTTCCTGTCAATCCAACATTGATTTATTTAATATAAGGCAGCACTACTGTTCCTTATTGCATTTATCATAGTTCTGTTCATATAGCCTGTTTATATTGCGTCTACATACATATCGGCTGACATATCAAAATATCGGAGCATTGGTGTTAAAGGTTCTGGGCGATGTGGGGAATTTCTGTACATGGGTTTTAGGTATTTTCATAATGATGCTAAGGTGTAAGGTTAAAATATTAAATACTTAATTATTATTAGAAAATGGTAAAATGTATATGCTTATTTATTAAAGTATGTGTTGTATATAGATGGTGGAATTGAGGTAAACTCACCTGTGAGTAAATAATGGTTTAGTCCTATAATAGCTGAGAGTATTTAAGGCTGCCATTTGTCATTAGACACCGATTTGTGCTGCTGCTTGAAGGCTTGACCTGGCATTCATTATCTACGGAGTTAAATTATATGTGGACAAATAAACACCTCTTGTTTCCAAAGTACTCTGCCTCAGCCTTCATCTCCAGCCACAAAAGGCCACTTTGTTACAATCGGTATTTGTACAGAACCTAAAAACACCCACTTCACTGGGCTCTAATTTTTAAAGCCTAAAATGTCCAGTGAATTGCTTCAATGACACTTTGTTTGATAAATTATCTGAAACTTTGGCTTTCTTTAATATGAACATAATGTAATGGTCTAAAGGTCTTTTAGTTCTCTGTTTCACATAAGTTCCTTTTTTACTTTAGATTTATGCACACCTGACAATGTTGGTAAAAAACTGTCCTTATTGTTAATGCCTGTGTGCTTATAATGACTAGTGTATGTGTGCATATATTAGAGCAGGGCGATATGACCATAAATATTTATCACGATATACATTTGAAAATTTGCGATAACGATAACTGACGATATAATTGACACTAGACAAAATACTTTACAACTCCTCAACTTTATTAGTGCAAAAAAAACAAATAAATGTATTTTCACTTAAACGAGCAGCTGTTTTTTTATGTGCATTAAAGTTATATAAAACTTTAACAGTGCAAATGCAAATTCCTTGCTGACAGTTTAAACAAAAGGCATTTCCAGTGGAAATTGGCCGACATGTCCTCAGCATAACCATGTATAATATCCACAAAACCTAAAAAGGGGTTATGCACACACAACACGGTAATATTATGTTGAAGCACAGTACGTATCACTCCGCGAGGCGCCTGCCTACGGTAGCCATAATGCTCCGACAATCCATCAAGCGGTGCCGTTTTGTAGCTTAGCAAAGTCGTACTAAAACATTTGACAGATTTTCAAGCGCCGTGTACATAAAATCGTTTCGAGGTCAGTAAACACAACCAGAATTCATACATAAGGCACACGGGATTATAAGGGGCACTGTCGATTTTCAGAAAAATCAAAGGATTGATTTTAAGTGTGCTGTATTTTCCAAAAAACACGGTAATAACGACGGCCCGCTAGCATGCTCTACCAAAAATAGTGCTCTGTTGTGTATCTGACAGATGAAAGCCAAACCAGTTCCACACCACTGAAGTTGCAGCATTTTTACAAACCAATTCTGGTTCATCCGTTTCATTTAACGATCCACTTTCGCTCTTCTCATTCTGCGCGTTTCACCCATATTCTATCGCGATATTTAATTTTCCTATCGTTGCCCAATATTACACCGATATTACCGTGTAGCCCAGCCCTAGCATATATCTTCAGTATTGCCAGTATGAGGATATTATATTTTCTACATGCATGAATCTGAGGTATATTTACGCTTCAGGCAGGGAAGAAGGTGCTCAATCATAAGAAAGCAAATGTGTGGCAGGTTCTTATAATTGCATTCGAATGCAATTATAACATGCAGTATAATTGCATGGAGTATAACTAAAATAACATGTAAAACACTCAGTAACGCACAGCTTTTGACCTACACATTACCAGAACTCTTCATACTGGGATTGTGTGAAACTCTAAGCAAAGTCAAAGTATAAAATGCAATAAGTTCTATATTTTGTTAACCAGTCAGTGTCAGGAAATCTTGCAGCACCGAAAGCCTCGCCAGGCAGGTTTCTATGAAAGCAGAATATAAAGCTGAGGATTTCTGTCGCTGCAGTGTGACTCTGTATCACATGTCTCAGTGAGATCGGCAGCCGTGCCTCTCTTCCCCTTTGCTGGCAGAGTGGGCATCGCTTAGGGCAAGGCTGGCTGTCAAACTCAGGGAGGAGAAGCAGCAAAGAATTTCACTTATTATAGGGAAGTAAGACTCCAACTATTTGCAGTCACTTTCCGACTCTCTAGGCTCGGCTCTCTTTCCCTTTTTTTCCTCCCCTCGACTTCACTGAAAAATCTATTTTCTCCTCTCTCTGTTTTCTTTATCCACAAATATATGAATTTTTATCATTTTCCAGATATAAAACCGACTCTCGCCCTCCCTCTCTCCGTCTCTTTTGTTCAGACATCCTGTGCTGTGCCTCGTAGCCCAGAGGCAGCAAGTTTGACGTCACAAAGGAATGCATCACAAGAGGTTGTGTTGTCTGCTCTGTGTGTGAGAACATTGGAGGGAATAGGAGACACTGTTCTTTCATAATGTACTTGCATGACAAATTGTGCTCCCTGGTCATAGAGACACCATCCACAGCCGTGCATATTATTTTGTCCATTCTGTCTATAAGATGATGGGTAGGTACAAAGCAAGATGATAAGTTGAGGCTTTTACCTTATATTCTTATAGACCGAAAGCTTTTTAAATGGGGGGGGCTTTAAAAGCATGTCGACCACCAACTTTTTTGCTTAATTATCGA